AGATAATCCCTGGGGTCGGAGAATAAGAAATTGGCGCACGGAATCTTGAGATAACGTCCATTCTGTCTCGATGTCCACGAACGACGGCAACGAAGGAGGACATCAACCCTAAACCCTAAACCCTCAATAATGGGCCCTGCTGGGGGGGGAAGTCCCTCTCTGCCCTCCTCATTTTCTCACTCTCCCAGGTCTATTTCTGTGAGTGCGGCGTGTGGTCAAGAAATGAGCCCAAACATAACTGGACCATTATTGGGACCCTAAAATGGTAGCCCTAATTTTGGGAAACCCCCAAGTGTTGTATTTTCATTTCCTGTACCAAACGACTGCGGATCTGTGAGAGTGGTCCAACACCCCCTGCACATGTGTGTTGTAGGAAATGAGCCCGGGCAGATTTTTTGGAGACATGCGCGCTTCTCCGAACGCTCTTAGAGCATGTTAGAGCACAGGCATTGGAGCACAGGGCTTGTCCTTTGCACCACGTGCGAATTCGCTCCGATACTCTCCACACTATTAAATGCTGTCCCGTCTTAACTTCGAGCTGGAATCCGTACACGCTCCCGCGTACAATCTTGTTATGCCCTGGGTGTGTGACTGCGTCGTGTGGTTGACTTCACAGTTGACGGCTGCTCAGACCCCCCAAAGAGGATCCAAAAAATGGAACCTCTCAACAATCCTCTAGTTTCCCCAACATAGTAATGGGGGTCACTCTGGAGGGTTCCATTTTTTGGATCCTTTAATAAATCCCCCATGGAACCTCAGTGTCCATTTCATTTTCCATTTTCTTTTCCATTTGATTCTCCACGTCCTAGTATATACCCTATAATCCCTATAGTTTCCATTTTCTTGTCCATTATCTCTTATATTATATAACCCCTATATAACCCCCATATAACCCCATATAACCATCTTTTGGATTCACCCTAAGCCCTAAACCCTAAACCCTAAACCCTGGGTCTGGGTTACTGAGGCTGCTACTTGGATGTCTTGTACAACATGGCATTCGGTGCATCGGGATCCTTCGCGTGCGCGAATGCTTCCGGGGGGTTCATAGGGGTTTAGGGTTTAGGGTTGAGGGATTAGGGTTTAGGGGTTTATGGTTTAGGGTTTAGGGGTTCATAGGGAATAAAGGAATATGTTACGTAGGGGTTTTATAGGGATAATATTCCCTTATTCCCTACTATCCACCAGTAAGAATGTCAGTATTCTTGGGACTTTGCTTTTGGCGGGGCCTTGATGTGGGAAGTAGGGGATGAACTTGGAGGTGTGGGTTCAAGTTCTTGTTAAGTGCTTGGCAAGCTATCATCAATGAGACTGGCTCTTTGATGCACAGAAACATTGCTACCTCGCATAGCCTTGACTAGGTGGCTACTGATTTCATGATGGTGCACGACTCTGAAAGATCAGTCCTTACTACTCTTGTACCTGTTGCTGTGCAGATCCTCCTGGCATTTGCCACACTCTTCAATCACACGTGGGCCTGAAGGCGTTGCGATACTGAAAAGAATTCGCAAGGCAGAACTACGTACGTACCCTCGCATGTCTGGGGTCGCACCCAGTCTTGGCTGGCACATCTGCGAGTTCGCCTTCCGGAGTCTAAGTCCTGAACAAACAAAAAACCCGAAATTTCGCAGCTCCTGAGAGACCTTGATTGGAGCCAGCTTGTTTGAACACCTGGCCTTTGTGATCGGTGCTCTGAATCTTCCAAAAACAAGTCTGCAAGTATTTAACCCTAAGCCCTAAACCCTAATCCGCTAAGAGGAAAAAAAATGGTAAGAGGAATTGAGGTACATGGACCTGCCCCTGACCTCCACGGGCTACTTCCGTGGGGGGGTCAGAGCTCTTCAGGCCAGGGCCATCCAGGGTTAGGGTTTAGGGTTTAGGGCTTATGTTGGGTTATAGTGGGATAATGGAAAATAAAATGGAAACTACTAGGGTTTATAGGGATTCTATAGGGTATATTATGGTTTATTCTATAGGGTCTAAGGGTTTAAAGTTTTATGATTAAGGGTTAAGGGTTTAGGGTTTAATGGTCTAGGGGGTAGGGGTTTAGGGGTTTAGGGTTTTCAGGTTTTCTTAGTTTGCTTGAGCGGGCTGTAATGTAGACCCATGATTAAAAAACCACCTCCTTTTATCGGCCTTAATATTAGGATCCCTATTCTGTTCCCTATCAAGGGGAGGGGATTTACAAATCAAGGGTCTACATACTAGCCCCGTAGTAAGACCCCTTAATGGACATATTCATTCTAAAGGTAATAAGACGAATACTAATCACAGTAACAGTAAATGTATCAGGTTTTCTTAGTTTCCTTGAGCGGGCTGTATTAACACACCAGAATATACCATAATATACCATAAAATACTATAATATATTACGTGTGTGGGCTCAGAGTGGGCTGTTTCGCGAGGTCGGGGAGGCATCCTGGAAGGTGGTTGCGACCAAACAAAGATGGGATTTACTGTACTCGTGGCATGATTGGTTACTACTACCATTATTATTAATGCTACTATTATTATCACTGTTTTCCATTATTACTACAAGCATGATTGTTACTATTATTACTACTACTATTTTTATTATTATCACTTTTCCCGCTTATTACTACAAATATTCTATCTTTGTTATTACATTGGAATGCCTCATCAGCATACCCATCACGGATTCTAAATCTCTCGGATGTCTGGCTCAGGCTTGGCCTGTACTCAGGCGTGTTAAACGTGTTCTTGCTCTGACTGGGTATCATCTCAACTTCATAACTTCATGCATGAAATGTGGGTTTCCATAGCTAGGGGTATCATTTTAGAGGCCCTCATAATAAGGATCATAGTATATTGTGGTCTACATTGGGGTCCCCCTATTTAAGGAAATTTCCAACCTTTAATTCTGAAGGAGGCAGCGATCTACTGAGCGTCAGGTCCTGTCAGGGGAGATCGCTAACGTTCACCGACTACAGGGCGCAGTGGCCCAAGTCGTGCTTCTCACGGCCGGTTATTGGACAGCTCATAATTACAAAATATGCTGTATATATATATATATGTGTGGTTGTCTAAATTATGGTCCCTAATATTTAGGGTACCCGAAAAGGGACCATAATTTTGACAACCACCCATATATATATATATACATGAGAAGATGGCATGATATGACAGGTCAATGTGCTGCCTAGAAGGAATCCCTAATCCCTAAAACTTACACCCCGAACCCTAGTCTCTAAACCTTGAGCCCCAAAACCCTAATCCCTCAACCCTAAATTCCAAACCCTGCGCCCAAACACCCCTGTCCCTAAACACTAAACACAAACTCTAGTTGCTGCAGTGTCCTGGCATACCAGGTTGCAAAGGCAAGCAGTCGATGTGCGGGCTTGGATATTCTTGACCCCGCTTTCTGAGACCATACAAATCCCTATCCCTACATAATCCCTGCATAACTGCAAGCATCCCTATATTCTCCCGGATATCATCCCTAACGAATCTATATATACTTCCTATAGAATGTCCGTGGTGGTCTCTGAGCTGCCGGGCTGAAGTCCGGCTTTTTCACCTCATGTCAAGTCGTCAAACGCAGGCAGCACCTCGCACATTGCATGAACTGAATCCAGTTTAGAGTTTTTTTTTCCGTGTCATTTTCGCTTTGATTCTCCATTCTTCAGGGTTATATGAGTTATATATCCCGCAACCCAGAACCCTAAAGAGTAGTTTCCATTTGTTTTCCTGTTCTTTCGCATGTGATTCACCGTCACTAAATCCTAAATCCAGATGGGGATCCACTTCCCCATTCAAGATTTGAAAGCCAGTAGGTATCATCGGACAATTTGGCAAACGAAGTGCTGTGCCTTCTGAGGCCCTCTGGATCTTTCATCTCGCCGGAGTTGGTGTTTGCACTGCAGGCGTGCTCTTCTGATGGGGGGATGGTGCAAACTAAGCCGCATCTGCCCATTTCGGTTGCGCCTTATCTAGCAGACTCTAGCTCACAGAGCAGTGGCTGAGAGAAGTTGATGAGCGTCTACCAACTATCAACTCGTTTCCCAGCCAACGTCCGCGAACGCAGGGGAAGCTGCGTGTTGAAGCAAAGCAGGGTTGCAATCAGCAACCCCTGTGCAGGGCAGACATGTAGCTGAACCACACCTAGTTTGCAGGTGCTGCCTACTCGGTGAACGCCATTATCGAGATAGCCTGGGCCGTATAGCCCCTTCGCACTCAGGGGTGTACTTGACTTCTCGTGCTGAGCAGCATACAAACCAGAACATGGTGCAGAGGCTGCTTACATCAAACAAGGAAAGAAACCTAGGCTTCTGGTGGAATTTCACAACCACCGTTGGATAATATTAGCAATATATGATATAGTAGTATATAGCCTTTAATATGACCCCTAAGATAGACTGCTACAGGATGGGGGCAGTACCCAAGCGATAGGCTCCTAGCAAATTCCCAGGTCCCCAGCTTTTCGGATCCTGGCAGCGACCTTTTCATCTGGGACACCAGTACAGCCTGGAGCCCATCCCAGTTGAGCTATAGTCTACACTCCTTAATTAAAGGGAGGTTGCATAGGGGATTAGATAATCCTTTTATCTAGGGCTTAGGGGGTTATATAGGGGATAATATGGGGTTTAGGGTCTATATGGGGGATTATACAGAGGAGTCTTATAGGGCTAAATTAAGGGGGATACTAGGAGTTTAGACAAGGGCTCAGTTTGATGGCAGAGTTCAACATCGCTGTTCAACACCCTAAACCCTAACCTAAACCCTCGCAAGCACGTGACAAGCGTGGACGGCTCTTGATCTGACTGGTGGTTAGCAGGGAATGCTACAGGAACATAATCCCCATACTATACATATCTATGCTCACCCCGCCCCCCCCTCCCTCCCAAGAACTACCTTTTGGGCTAAAAACTGCAGGGCCATAAACCAGCTATATACATATAATATATATATATAGACATATGGAAATAGATGTATATGTTCATTCACTAATTCCCCTCCAACCCCCCAGTAAGTGCTGCGAGGTCTTCATTTCCACCGGCCTTGTGGGTCTGCTAATCGGTATCGTGGCATGCAAGTCGGGAGTGGCGTCTACACAATATATTATCGTATATTATAGCATATTATCATATCTTTTAGCATATTATAGTATATTACAATATACTATAGTATATTAATATTCAAAGAATGTCACGGCAAGAGCAGGGCAGGAGTAATGGCTCTAATACCAGCCTAGGGACGGGTATTTGCAGTGGTGGACAACTGTGAGCCCAAGAGTAGGACAGTAGGAGGTAAGCTGTGTATAAACATATTGCTTTTATTATTGTTATTCCCATTGCTGTTACCATTATTATTACCACTACTAGTACCATTATGATTACTGTTACTCTTACTATGAATTACTATTACTACTCGTTTTTCAGGCTATTACTACTATTACTAGTGAGTCGGCAGCTCTGACTGCAGATCTTGACTAGGAAAAGAGCTACGACTGATTCCAGAGTTTAACATTATGGAGTAGGTGGATTGACGATTCTTAAGTCAGGCCTGGTAGTTGCTGGTGAGAGTGTGAGTCATGCTGCCCCATGCGCTCATTGCATGACATTGGCCTCAATGGTTTCGCGCCTCCACTAAGCCAGTGCCATCAGAGTAGAGCTAGCCCGCTTCAAAGCTTCCGATGAGATGCGACAACAGTGAATTCTTGCCAGAGTTGTGTTATCTGACAGTTGCACCATGAGGCTCCCTTTCAGCAGCTCCGTATTTTTCTCGTTGGGAGACTGCGACACATCATTCAAGGCAGAAGCATTATGCTGGTGTTTGACACCGTGGCCGGCCTAGCTGAAGCAGCCCTTTGCAAGTGGTGCAAGCTAGTGGGTGTAGCTCTTTCCATGTCCCTGGCGGGTGCTTGCTGAGCTAGTAGAAGCGACTGACCATGTGGATTCGAGTGTGCACGTGGTCCTTGTGCTTGGTGACATTGGTTTTGCATGGCCAGTCCACCGTTTACCCTGATATGCTCTTTTCTGGCAACAGGCACATTTGCAAGCCGAGGTCTTTGACACCATCATCTATTGCTACGCTTTAGAGATGCGACGGCAGAAGCATGTGCGCCTCTATGGGCTAGGGCTAGTGTGACATGCATGACGCCGATCTGCCAATCAAGTGGTCAAGACTGAATCTGCACTTGGCGATGAAATGCGACGTCGTTCTAGCTATTGGCTGTTCCTGCTTCTGTGCTGGGTGAGTGGCGGGCAACACTCCTGCCAGGAAAGCCTCATGCGCATGATGATGGCTGATGCGGACGGCACGCTAGCATTGAGGTTTCAGGAGTTGACATGCTGTCTGGCTTGTACTCTTCTCTCAGTCTTCCTCAGGCCCTTCAAATTTCGACCTCAGCCCCTGGAGTTTTTGCTGCTGCAGGTTGCTGGGTTTTGGAGGATAGCTGTTGTCACCTGTGGAATCTTTAAGTGTGGCTATGCTATAGACCCGAAATCCCTGAACGGCGGAGACGCGAAAGTGCGCGCATTGCGAACCACTCCAGCAGACGTGCAAGCATGCAAGCTCCGTTTTGTCTCGCTTTCTCGCGCTTAGTGTGGTATGGTTGCCCACCCTTGGCAAGGGCTTGTTTGATTTTTGAAAACATGTTTGCCTCGCTGGCGCACCCATCATCAGCCTCTAGTTCCCAGCCCCATGGCGTCAGTGCCCAATCTAATGTAGACTCCTAACTAATATAAACCCCCTTCTTTCAAGGGCCTAAATATTAGGCCTCCTATTATAATCCATAGTAAGGGGAGGGGGTTTATTAATTAGGGGTCGACATTACTGTATAATGTAGATTACAATATACCAGAATAGACCATAATATACCATGACATACTATAGTATACTATCATGTACATGATATACCAGAATATACGATGAAATACCATAATATTTTATAAAGCTCATTACAATACACTATATTAGTCAGGGGTCTGCACTAGGGGGCCTGACCCAGAGGGTCCCTAGAGTGCCGGCGCCCGGAGTGTCCTCACAGGGCCCAACCCTCTGAACCGAATATTGTTGTGGGGATGAATACAAACCCATAATATTTTCTGATCCTTATTATGGGGACCCCTAAAAGGTACAACAATATAACCCCAATATACTATAGTAGTTTCCATGATTTTTCCATTGCTGGTAGTGCAACACGTGTTTGTTTAGATGTCCTTTTACTTGATGCCCTGTGACATTTGAAGACGCAGAGAAGCACCAAGCATTCCATCAGATCAGTCGTATTGCAGGCGATGGGGTCCCCGACTACCTCTGCTTTTTGCCTCGGCCGGATGGAAGTTCTGACGAGGTGGGTTTGGGGTCTAGGGTTTAGGGGCATGAATTGAGTCTGGCAAAACAGACGGAGGCAATGGCCACTTTGCCCTTGCGCTCTGGTCTGACACTTCTGTCCATGCATCATGTCGACAGGATTCTACAGGGCAATTGCAAGACGTGATGTAGCCTGACAAAGTTAGTATTCTGGTGTTTCAATGGATTTCATAATGTTCCCCTAAACCTTAAACTCTAAACCCTAAACCCTAAACCCTGTGCCGCGGAAGGATGACCCTGAACTGGCCATGACGGGCACATTTGCACCAAGCAGGCCTCAGCGCAACGTCTTACAAGGGTATAATACAGACCCCTGATTAATTAACATTATATCTCATAGTATATTATGGTGTATTACAGTATATTATAGGGTAATGATGACCCCTGATGAATAGACCCCCTCCCCTAACTAGGGTTTGTCATAGGGATCCCAATATTAAGGCCCTTAAAATGGAGGGGGTTTGTTAATCATGGGTCTACCTTACCTTTGCAAGATGTCTCTGGAGTTGTTGTTTATATTGGAAGTCGGTGACTGCTTGTATTTAGCAAGCTAGCTGACGCCTAGACTGCTGCGGAGCATGAGGCATTCAGGCTTGCCAGGCAAAGTTCACCCTGAACGCATTTCAAATCTGACACGTAGACACGTGATAACGCATGTTGCAAGCACAGCTTGCAGAAAGGAGACTGTATACAACTGTATGGCCGAACCCTATATTCGGAAAGCAAGCGCGTGGACGGCCTCACTACAGCTGCAAAAGCAAACACAGCATGCTGGCCTGCCACACGTGAAACCTAGCTTTGCCTCGCACTGACTGTGGTTGGACTGGGTTCATGACTGCTACTATTATTATTGCCATTATTATTATTATTACTAGTACTAATATAGTTGTTATTATCATTAATCTCATTGTTACTATCATTATTATTATTAGCAGGCAGTTAGTGATCGGTTGCTCAGCGTCTGTGGAGCATTGCTGTGTACCCCTGCAGGCTGATTCAGACCCTGAGCATGCACAGGAAACTTCATAGTGAGCACAGCAACTAGGGTTTCATGGTTTTATGTTTATGATAGGGGCAGTTTGACAGAACTCAGCAGGCAGGCAGTGGACCACTCTGTTGCATCCATGTGTTCCAGTTTTCTCTAGATTCGCTGCACCAGAATGGTAAGTTTTAAGAGCTATCTCGCCTGCCATCCCGAACAACGGAAAGGCAGGCCTTTTGAAAACTTGGGAGTTTCCAGCTGAGAGGCCTTGATGCGAGCTTCCCAGAAATTGCACACTAACGCTCAGGGTGTCGCTTTAAAGGGCCTTAGAGAGCACTCCAGCGTAGAAGCTAGCATTTTTTGGATAGCCTTGCAACAGCGGTCCAGGATGTGTTGCAGCACCAGCGCATTGGAACCTAGGGCGCATGTTAGGCTTGCCCATAGGACTCCCAAAAGTGTTGCAAGTTTGTGTTGGGAAACTGCCTGCTTCTTTACTTAGGGGTTCAGGGGTTCAAGCCCCAAGTGCAGCAGTACTGTAGCTTCCATCTTCTTTTCCATTCTCTCTGCATCCCTAGTAGATACACCATATACACCCTATATATTCTGTGAGTATATATGTATGTATGTTCGTTTCCCTAAATAAGGGGACCCCCAATTTAGACGCCAGTAGACTATAGTCCTCATTATTGGAACCCATCCACAAAGGTACCCTAATTATTGGGAAACCCTAAACCCCATATCCCCCTATATAACCCCTATATAGCCCCTGATTCTTGGGAGACGCTAATCCTATATCCCCGTATACAACCTCCATATAACCCCTATATAACCCCTAATTATTGGGAAGCCCTAAACCCTCAACCCTAGATCCCCCTATATAACCCCTATATAACCCCTATATAACCCCTATATAACCCCGAATTATTGGGAAACCCCCATGTCCCTAGACATACTTGGTCCACATGTCATGCTTTGCAGCACAGCCTTGACCCCGGCCTCAACGAAGCGCTGAGCTCCCGCAGATAGGAGCTATAGTCTAAACTCCTTAAAGGGGGTTATAAATGGGGTTATATAGGAGAGTGTTCTAGGGTTTGTTCAGGGGGATACTAGGAGTTTCGACTATAGCTCATATGCACCTTGGTCAGCGCGACCAGCAATTTGCGGGAATCGTTTCCCTTGCGCATCGCCCCTCGTGCCCACTCTGGGTTCGAGTCAGACTTGTGGCAGCATACCAAAGTGGACGAGCTTCCTGCCTGCCAGAGTTGATGTTTGAGACTGCTTCTGTATCTTAGGTAGGTCCATTCAGGAGTTGGCGCGACACTTGCCATCTTCGTGCTGTCTCTCAAGCCGGCCCGCCGGCTGTAGTGGCCGAAGATCCATGGCACTACTTGCTTGTCTTGAATTCTTACATGCAATTGTATGTGATAAGTCGGCGCAACAGCAGTTCATTTTTTTTGTCAGGGCTTTCCACTGTGAAGTAGTGCTTCTTCAAACGCCCACACACGGTACAATACGAGCCGTCTCAGGAAAATCATGCACAGACTAGTTCTCCTTGCCATTGCAGCTGCCATCAGCCCCTGGACTTAAGTTAGGGGTTTAGGGTTTAGGGTTCAGGGTTTAGGGATAATGGAAAAGAACATGGAAACTACAGGGATTATATAGGGGTTATATAGGGATTATAGGGTATATATTGGGATTATATAGGGATACTGGAAAAGAAAATGGAATCTACTGTATAGGATATTGGGAGAATACTAGGATAATGGAAAAGAAAATGGAAACTATAGGGATGGTAAGGGTTATATAGTCGGTTTCCTTCGCTGTGGCAAACTGTTTTGGATCCATGTCGGAGTTTCCCAAAATGAGGGCTGGCAATGTAGACCTCCCATTGACTATTATCCTTGTTATTCTAGCGACTCCCAAGCAAGGGACCCCTCATTCATTTGTCTTTTTCATTTTGTTCGGACGTAATAATATGCCTCGACCCTATAATATGCTTACGGGTGCACTTCCAGGCTTCCTCCTGTGCTGCTATGTTACCAAACCCGCACACCTGTCGTCACTTCATGTACTTGTGTATGCTAGCCTTGTGACCGAAAAGGCGCGCTGTTTTGGTAAGCTGTTCGGCTGTTGTCAAGATGCCTCGTGAGTGCAGCTTCTGTCACAAACATGGCCACAATGTGCGAAGTCGATGACTAGAGCATCCATGCCCAAACCATAGTAACGT